GACCGGTTGATCAAACAGAGCCAAATTACCGCTGGTATTGGTAATTTAGAAGAAAACCGTCCGAAAATGAATTTCAGAGACTTCAAAATTTAAGTTGGGGAATGTATATTCATTCTAAATGTCATAATGATTGAGAAAACATAATATATTTTATTTGACTCGATAAAATAAATTATATTTAAAACAGTTCAAAAAATACAACTTTTGGAACCGATTGTACACTTTTGGACAAAAAGGGGTGACCTCCCACAGGGGTGGGAGCCAACCCACGAATTTTGCACCTCAAAAAGGTCAAACATAGTTGGATAGGTGACCTATTGAGCTGTGAGACAAGGAGGAGGTGGGATGAAGCTATCAAAGGTACAATGGGGGGGCCATTTCCACATTATTTTGAGAGAAAAGCCAAATAGGCTATCTCCTCCACTCACCCATTCCATTATTTTCGGCCAAGCTATTAAAAAGGAGGAAATGGAAGCTCTCAAGATATTCTCCATTGCTGCAACTCTAGCTCAGGCAAGGGTGGTCCAAGGAAGAAGATTATAGAAGGAAAGAGCTAGGAAAAAGTGTGAAAATTAAGGTAATAACCTTATCATAACTTTTCCTTTATTTTTCTTCTATCATATGAGATGTATATCATATGAAGAACCCTTGGGATTGTTCTGCATGATATGAATGTGGAATAATGGGTTGGAAAGTGGTTCTAAGTCCAAGAACGGACTTAGAAGCCAAAACGACCGGTTCGTCGGAAAATAACCTTTTAGAGGTTATTTGTATTAATATTGGTTTTATGATTATAAAACCTTGTTAGGAACTTGTATAAGGTATTCCTAGAACTTTCACAGAGTTGGAAGAGTCGCCGGAGTTGTCGCCGGAGTTCATCAAAAGTCACCGGAGTTTCACTGGAGTTCAACCGAGGGGTAGAACTTCATAGCGCTAATTCGAGGTGAGGATGACCGACTATATTGCTTATTTTTATTGGGTTAATTTCATAAGATTACCTAAATGAATTAAATTTGTTTGGCATGGGTTATTAGTAATTAAACATGCCTAAATGAAATTATTATTGTTTATAACTAAAAATGCATAATATACAAATTTATGAATAAATTGTATATGATTATGTGTTATGAATATAATGGCATGATATTTGTATTAACCATGAGTTTCATTGTGATAAATATACTTTTACCTCATGTAAAGAAGTCATGAAAAGATAAAAGTGATATTTTGATATTAGAGCCAAATTATACTTGGATGTAAAAGTTAATTGAAATAAACGAACTATTATGAATTAGAACTTGGGTATATTAAGATCAAATGACTAGGATAGAAATACTAGTCGGAAATGTTAGTTCAATTATTCTTTGGAGCTAATCCCAAGATAGTGAATTGTGGTGGGTACGCCCTAAGTAACCTTAAGAGATACTCCCTCCGTCCCGCTAAGATTGTTCCATTTTACCTTTTCGGGAAATCCCACTAAGATTGTCCCATACCAAATTTGGTAAAGTTTGTGTGGTTCTAAATTATTCTAACTTTATTTTTACTTTATCAATTTAATATCAACCACACAACCTCACTTTTCTTAATAATCGTGTCACCTTCTCTTGTCCCAATCTTAGTGGGATGGAGGTAGTACTTTTAAGGTGAACTTTATGAACTCCAACTTACATTAGGAGTAGGCCTTAAGGGTTACTCAAAATGAATGGAGTCTAGGCTAAGAAATTGTTTAGAGATTAAATGATATGACTATGAGCCGAGCTCTAGCACAATGTAGTATGACTATGAGCCGAGCTCTAGCAAAATGTAGTATGACTATGAGCCGAGCTCTAGCACAATGTAGTATGACTATGAGCCGAGCTCTAGCAAAATGTAGTATGACTATGAGCCGAACTCTAGCAAAATGTAGTATGACTATGAGCCGAGCTCTAGCAAAATGCAGTATGACTATGAGCTGAGCTTAGACCTGCACAAAAGCGGGTTCGGGCCGGGCTCGGGCCGAGCTTTCCATAAGTTTTCTGCCCATCGTGTGTGGGCGGGCCCGGCCCGGCCCGCAAAAGCGGGCCTAACCCCATGTCCATACCCGCCCGTAAGAGCGGGCCGGGTAGTCCACCGGGCCGTCGGGCCCGGTAAAATTTTAAAATTTTCAAAATTATGTAATTTATTTAATACTTTATAAATAATATTACAACATTTAAAAAATTGCTAATACGCTTATAATGTATATAGGCCTTTCATCACATACACAAAAAATATTTACACAAAAATAATAATGAGAAACTATATCTAAAATTTAAAATTCAAGCACAAAGTATTATCTTTAAGTACAATAATAGATATTATATTGGTTGAACTATTTGTTAAGAACTAAAAACTTAAATTTAAACATAATAAACTATAAATATGTATACAGATAAATTAGTAAATATGAAAATATACAAGTGTACATGTAAATAAACACATAAATTAGTATATATAAAAATATATATGTATATATACTAAATGTAGCGGGTGTGGCTTAATATTAGTATATATGTATATTCTGAAAGACTATTGGGGGCCTGCAATGGCTAATTTGCCAAGTGTGGCTTAAACACTTGTAATATCGTTTCCGCTGCTTTAATGAATGATTTTACATTATGTTGGTTTATGGATGTACTACGTGAGAATGATAGTCTAGACGCCCCGTATAGTATGAATGTGTTAGACTGCGGTTGACTATTCGTACTGTACGGCGGGTTGTTGACGTGTCCGGTAGGTCTGGGGCGTGACAAAACCGGTCACCGCCACATCACCCGGTAGGGTGCCAACTGTGCAACGTGGCAACTTAGGGGGTCAAATAAGCCCTTGAACCCGACCAAATCGTTCAATTTTCCCCTTCAACCCTAAAAAATGTCAAAATTTTGAAAAATAAAATAAAACAATAAAAACAAATTATAAATAAAATACATGTCTAAAATATAAGAAATATTAATATGAAATATTTATCGTTCATAGCAAATTCAAAATAAAAAGTAAAATATAAACTAAAAAATTCTTTAAGTTTATTTCCATATTTTATAACTACTACGTATATTTCATATAAGAAATAAACAATGTATGTTTACCAACTATATTTAAATTTTTATTTTATGTATTATATCTAATGGTTTGTAATATAACACAAATTTTAGATTTTTGGTTTGAAATTTATACGAAGCATTATGTTTAAATTATCCATTTGTATTTTTTCATGCCATATTTTTTAATTTATTTAAAAATATACTAAAAATAAATATACAATTTTTATGTAACATAAAAATTACTCATATATAAGAATTAAAATATAAAAATAGTAACTACATATTTATATCATTTATTATAAATATATTGAAGTCGTTTTTACGTATTATATATAAGAATGAATTTCTTTTAGTTTATATCTTATTTCTTTATTTTAAATTTACAAAAGAATAAAAAAATATTTATATTTTATATTTGCGCTTATTTTTTATTCTATTTTTAATTTTCTATTTTCATTTTTTATTTTTATTTTTTTGTAATTTTGACGCTTTTTAAGGGTTGAGGTTGAGGGGGTAAATTGAACAATTCGGTCGGGTTCAGGGGCTTATTTGACCCCCTAAGTTGCCACTTCTCATGCACGATTGACACCCTATCGCGTGACGTGGCGTTGACCTACTTATGACATGCAAAAAATAAAATTTGGATCTTTTCATCAAGTTCATGGTTAGGGGTGGACTTGGGCCGGTTCGGGCCTGGGCCGGGCCGGGCCTCAGTTCATGAAAGGGGAGGCCCGGAACCGGCCCGGGTCCGGGTCGGGCCGAACCTCGATTCATTTTTTTTTGGCTTTTCCTAATTAACCCCCAATCCTTCCCCCTCACCCCCAAACCACCCTAAACCACCTCAAATGGCCCAAAATACCCAGCCCAACCCAAAAACTAAAAAAAAAGGAAAAAAATGGGCCCGGAACGGGCCCCAACCGGCCGGGCCGGTTCACCATTTGAGGGGCCCGAGCCCGGCCCGGAACCCCAACGGGTCGGGCCTACCCGGACCGGTCCCTGGCCGGGTCGGCGGTTCGGGCCGTTCAAATAGTGAGTTCTGGCCGGTTCCGGGGCGGGCCGCCCGGCCCGAGTCCACCCCTATTCATGGTGCTAATTGAAGCTTTTTTTAGTTCGGGGAGCAAATTGAGCAACCCGGAAGGGTATAGGTGCCTATTGGACCCTTTAGCCTATATTTAGGCCTGTCAATGGGTCAGGTCTAGACCCGGACCCGGTTGTTTTTAACGGGTATGAGTCCTTATTTTATTCCGTTTACCCAGACCCGAACCCGGACCCGTTAGTACTTTTAATAAACGGGTCGGGTATGATACATATGATTCTGACTCGTTAAGGACCCGGACCCGTTTAAAATTTCTTATCAGTATACACACACTAATACATAAAGAGATTAGTTATAATACTTCATATAAAAATACGAACTAATGTTTTGTGAATGATCAACTATGACAACAATCACACATCTACATTCGTTGTTTATGCAGTATATTAAATTCGAAGTGATTTTAAATAAAACCATTTAAATAGATTTCAGAAAATTGAACACATTATTATTTGAATTATCCTGGCAACACATATCATTCCGAACACACTCTTTATTTATAGAGCCCGTTTGGAGACCTCTTTTTTCGGCTTATCAGGCTTATCAGACAGCTTTTTCACCAAACACGTAACTTTTACTTTTGTGTGCTGAATTGTGTAATAAGCAGAAAAAGTAAGGTTGGAGTTACTTTTCTGGCTGTATTGGCTGAAGTTACTGTAGAGGACTATTTTAGCTATTTTTACATGTAATTTTTTCTATAATTTATTGATAAAATATATTTTTAAAATATTTTTTTCTTGAATCAGCAGAATCAGCCAAAACAGCCACTTCAGCCAGAATTTCATAAATTTCAGCTGAATCAGCCAAAACAGCCGATTTTCGTGCTACCAAACGGGCTCATAGTGTGCTTGGAATAACGCAATAAGCTGCTATAAAAACAACCTAAAAACATCATTCAGTGGGAAAAACTAGAAGAGAGTATGTCCAGTAACAGGAAGGTTACATTTCAAACAAGAGATAAATTATTACAGGATGCACTATAAGAGTAAGGACATGCGCATGAAGCATGCCCAAGAAAAATACTACTGCCCAACAAAATTAATTTGTACTAAGTATTACCTAACCAAGTTTGTATGTGATCACCTTTAGGAAATCAAGAAAAAGCATTTATTAATACACGATACAGAACAACTTCAACAAAAATCTCTCTCAAATCTAATAATTAGAGAGAATAAATACTCAAACACCAATTTTGGAGGTAGAAAGAATGATGAAAAGCTTCCGGTTGGGTATTAATAACATTGCAAATTGTTAGTTAAGTCTCTCTAAAAACTTCTCAATCACAACTGAAAATGCAGCAAAGCCAGCACAGCCAACACATGCAGCTTTTGGACCTCCTGCAGTTGAGCATTGTTTGGTAGTTAGCAAAACATTAGATTAGCATGATGCCTCATTTAAGTGGGTAAACTAAGTACAAAATGGGTCAAATACTAAAATGTACATTCTCCAATACTAAGGCTGGGTTTGGTAGGGTGGTTTTGCTTAATCAGAATATTCAGGATAAGTATCTTTTGACTTCCTTAAAAGCCTAAAATGAAAGTTGCCAAATATTTCTCCTTTCAGAAAAACTTAGCAGATTCAGTATTTCAGCAAAGTGATCCCACAAAGCAGGCTCTAAATTTCTGAATGTTCAAAGTGACTTAGTGAGAAGTAACCTCTAGCTGATAATGTGCCTCCAGTAACACATCCAGCAACAGCTGTATTGGTAGTGTCATGTTTCGCCCGAGCCTTACAAAAAGCACAGAAACCAAACTCATAATATATTCAATAGGAAAAAAACTACTACCATGTTTTATAGTTAAGTTGGCATGAAGACATTAAAAATAGAAAATTACAATAAATTGGCATGCAGATAAAACTAGCTTGTGCCCAAAGCCCCAAACTTATATTCAAGACTGAACCATACTAGTCAGTAACAAATGTACCATAGAATTGGTCAAACTCCCATTTGTATCTTCAGAGAAGGACTAAATATTGGATCCAGAAAACTTGAGCAGAAAAATTCAATTTACATTTTCATCTTTTTTCTTTTTTAAATCAATGAGACATGATTCACCTTCTCGATAGCACATTCGGCAGCGGAGAAAATGAAACCCATAACAGCAAAAGTCTTGCAGGAACTCCAACTCCTCCGACCCATCTGCTTTGCTTGGTACACAATTTTTTGCTTACTACTCATTTCCTCATCCAATATATGAGTGTCCATTGAGCCCAAAAACAGACCCATTCCTAGTCCTAGCCCCCCTCCTACACATACATATATATTCAGACTCACTATTGTCACAAATTCCAATAATTACCAATAATTCAATTTTGAAAAAACAACAGCAAATGCTACATACGATGATTATAGGGAGTTCATAACTTCATACCCATAATGCCACTGGCGACGCTGCGAACTGCGCAGTTATTCCATATGTCTTGGCCTCGAATTTCCTCTACCGATGGAAGCCGAATTGGTTCAATGGGCGGCTTCTTCTCGGCTTCTTGTGAGCTCGGCGGCGCGTTTTTTGTTTCCTCATCCGGGCCGGAACTCATGGCGGCTCCGACAGAAACCGGGTTAGAAGGTGTTCTTTTTGGACGGTCAAGTTCGGCCGGGAAAACTTATGGATGAATAGAAGAGGAAAACCTAGGAGCAGGATTACTGGAAGTAAGGAATTTCGCCCAGACGCAGAGACCATCGAGTGTGCGTCACGCTCTACTCGATCTATTAGTAAGAATAGGCCCAATTATTATACAAGTATTTAATCCTAATCGGGCCAACATGTAGAAAATAGGCCCATTCGTGGAAAGGCCCACATTTGCTAGGGCTAACCTTTAAACTTTAACCGAATATAAACGTTTATTTATCATCCTCCACATAGGGTTTAAGTGGAGAAGTCGATTGAGAGCTGCGTCGCGACAGAGCTCACAGGGGCGGAGACTGAAGACTTAGGACGGCGGCGATAACCAGTTCAGCACCACCAACATGGTTCGACTCGCTTTACATTTCCGACAATTGTTCAATTAGTGTTTGTTTGATCTCCTACGATTTCAAATCGCTTGTTTGCTTCACTAATCTTTCCATGATGTATGATTACGGATGCATGCTTTTTGCATACTTCATTGAGTGTTTTATAAATTAAAATTCTACATTTTTATGAGTTAGATCTGTAGCATATAGGTTTATCACCGATGATGCGTCTCAGAACAAGCGATGAAATTTTCATTAATGCTTTTATATGCACCTGTTTGTTATGCGACACTTCAATCTAAGTCAGTTTTTTAATCAAGGTTAAGCAACCCTCACCGGTCGAGTAGTAGTCCAGCATATAAAAATATTATTTTTTTGCAAAAAAATACGAAAACTAATATATATCTAATACGGAGTAACTAATATGTATATCTGGATCTAGTAGTCGACATATCTCACATCTTGTCAGTCTTAGTTTCACTTCACATGCTGCAATTTTATGAAATGTGAAGTAATTCTTTTTCTACATCAACAAAATGAACATAATACTCTCCATAACCTTGCCTTAAATATAACAGTAGGATATGAGATAATCAATTCCAAGTCCTTGGGAACTTGAAATTATATTTTCAAATATTAGAAATTTATGCTTGTAATAATGTCATCAGCTATTTGTCTGTGGGTGACATTTTACCAGCGATGACATGCTTGTTTTGGTGCATGAACTTCCAGTCCCGCTTTCAGTTGCTTTGTTTTGATATCTTTTCCATTCTGCAGGCTAGAGGTTTGAAGAAGCACTTAAAGAGGCTCAATGCCCCAAAGAATTGGATGCTTGACAAGCTTGGAGGTGCATTCGTAAGTAAAAGGATGTTGATTCACTGTCACAATTCAACTATGCTTCTGGCTTTACTGCTCCCATAACCATGTCCTTTTTCATTGTTATTTTATTATAGGCTCCTAAGCCCTCTTCTGGTCCCCACAAATCAAGGGAGTGCCTGCCTTTAGTGCTCATCATTAGGAACAGGCTCCACTATGCTCTTACCTACCGTGAGGTTATTTCCATTTTGATGCAACGTCATGTTATGGTTGATGGCAAGGTCAGGACTGATAAAACATACCCTGCTGGTTTCATGGGTAAGCCTTCTTACTATTTGATGGATTCTACTGCATCAAACTGTGTAATCTCGTTTATGAGTATATATTTATTTTATTTTTCTTTATTTTTTGTTCAATGTGGTTGACATTTTAATAAATCGTGTAAACTTTCAGATGTTATTTCGATTCCCAAAACCAATGAGAACTTCCGCCTGCTGTATGATACTAAAGGGCGGTTCCGTCTTCATTCAATCAGGGATGAAGAGGCTAAGGTCAGTATACTGCAGAAAACTTTGTGTTTTTAACATTTAGTATGAGTGGAATTAGCACTGGCAGTATTCAAAAACTGTTTTCTTACTTATCTATTTCAAAAAAGAAATATCCGGTTTTGTAATGCTATGTTTCTTAGTTTTTTCATCAAAAATTATAGATATATATAGACAGCTTGAGTTTGTGAAATTATATAGTGATCTACAATTGATTTGTATTTATGGTACTTATACCATTTGTTTAGCAATTTTTCTTCTGGAAAACGTTTTATTTCTTTTACTAGGATTTTTAAGGTATAAACATATCCTGAGCAGCAGCATAAGCAATCAGCTTACCGTTAAAGGGACATTGCAATAGTTTTATACTACATAGCTTACTGCTCATGAAATGCTCTTTCACCCCCTTTAATAGCCGTAATTTAAGTTGGTTTTTGTATCAGTGCCTTTGAAAAACAGGAAGACTGAGTAGTGTTTGACTCGTCCTGTTTGTAAATGCTACATGGGGAAAATTTTATCACACTATTCTTGATTTCAATACAAAGCCTTGTTTCTATTTTGATATAAGTATGGTCTAACCTCGTTCAATGTTGTTAAAGACTTGCTCTTTTGAAGAATTCATCAGACTCTTCCATTTTAATCAAATAACTTTTACAAAACTGCCAAACAATACTTGTATTATGCATTAGCTTCACTTTCTCTTGATGGCATGCTGGAAAGTAGAAGCACCTTCACCCTGCAATTTACCTATTCTTGTGTGTCGATATGCAGTTCAAGCTTTGCAAGGTCCGCTCTGTTCAATTTGGGAAAAAGGGCATTCCATACATCAACACCTATGATGGTCGGACCATTCGCTACCCTGACCCTCTTATCAAGGCCAATGACACCATTAAATTTGACTTGGAGGGAAACAAGATTGTTGACTTCATCAAGTTTGATGTTGGGAATGTAGTTATGGTGACTGGTGGAAGAAACAGGGGACGTGTCGGAGTCATTAAGAGCAGGGAGAAGCATAAGGGTAGTTTTGAGACCATTCACATCCAGGATGCCCTTGGTCATGAGTTTGCCACCCGTTTGGGAAATGTCTTCACCATTGGCAAGGGTACCAAGCCTTGGGTTTCTCTACCCAAGGGAAAAGGTATCAAGTTGACCATCATAGAAGAAGCCAAGAAGAGGCAAGCTCAGTCTGCAGCCACTGCTTGAAAAGTGCTACAGATAATGTGGTGTTGGTCTATTGATTAGTATTTCGTTTGAAGGTTTTGGTAACTTAAGACACTGTTTTTATCTTATCTTGTGAAACGTATTCTATTTGCTTTTAGCAACACTTTTTGGCACCTGAATTTGAGCTGTTTTCTTATTGGCATTTTCTTTAATCTTATGTCTTGTCCTCTCTTAAATAAAAGTGTTTTTTGGAAAAAGATCTGACATAATTAAACAAGTTTAGTGTTACCTATCAGTAGCTAACGACGAACAATTGTTGGCATGAAAAAGGACAGTTTAAAGTTATTTTTTTTTATCAGATTTTATAAAGTTTCATGTTTTTTATTCCGTATATGTTTTACTAGTCCTTGGTAAAACAGTAGATCCTGACTTTTAGTTTAAGAGAGTAACGTTAGAGTCTAAGATGTAGATACACCTCTTAGACTTAGAAGCTGTTCTCTTCGCCTGATCTGAATGTTTCTGATCTGAATTTTTTAAGTTCTGATCTGATCTGATCTGAATTTTTCTGATCTGATCTGATCTGATCTGAATCTTTCTGATCTGATCTGATCTGAATCTTTCTGATCTGATCTGATCTGAATCTTTCTGATCTGATCTGAATGTTTCTGATCTGGTCTGATCTGATCTGAATGTTTCTGATCTGATCTGAATCCTTCTGATCTGATCTGAATCTTTCTGATCTGATCTGATTCGAATATTTCTATGATTATAATTATAATTATAATTATAATTATTATTATAATTGCAATTACAAATATAATTTAAATAAAATTATAATTATAATTGTAATTATAATTACAATATTTATCTCTATAATTGTAACTATAGTTATCAATATTATTATAATTACTCCATAAAATAATTACAATGGTAATAATAATAATAATATTAATATTAATTATAATAAAAATAATAATTATAATCATAAATTATTATTATAATATAATTATAAGTATAATTATAATTATTATAATTATAATTAATAATAATTATAATTATATTAACATTAATTATAATATTATAATATAATAATAGTAATATAAATACAATTAATATTATTATAACGATATTATTATATTAATATTATTATTACAATAATATAATAATAATATGATTATTATTATAATTAGTATTATATTATTATAATATTATATTATATTTATAATTATAATCATAATTATAATTATGATTGTAATTATAATTATAATTAATTACAATTATAAATATATTTAATTATAGATATAATTATAATAATTACAATTGATTATACTTATAATTATAAGAATTATAATTGTAATTATAATTATAATTACATATAATTATAATAATATTAATCATATTATTATTATTATAATGTTGTCATAATAATAGTCTTCTTAACAATTGCATTTATATTACTATTATTATATTAAAAAATTATAACTATTATTAATATCTTTTTTTATCATATTATTATTAATATTATTAATAATAATTATATAATAATAATCATTATAGTAATAACAATAATAATAATAATAATAATAATAATAATAATAATAATAATAATAATAATAATAATAATAATAATAATAATAATAATAATAATTAATATTTAATATAATAATAAAAGTGAAAAATCATGTTTGAACTTTTCTGATCTGATCTGATCTGATCTGAATGTTTCTGATCTGATCTGAATGCTTCTGATCTGGTCTGATCTGATCTGAATGTTTCTGATCTGATCTGAATGCTTCTGATCTGATCTGATCTGATCTGAATCTTTCTGATCTGATCTGATCTGATCTGAATTTTTCTGATCTGATCTGATTTGATCTGAATTTTTCTGATCTGATCTGATCTGATCTGAATAAAATAAGAAT